TCCCCTAAGCAAATGTAGCTTCATCCAGAAGGAAGAACCCTGTGTGTGCTGCCCTTCCTTGCAGCGTGGGGTGCCATGCTGTGCTGTTCTTCCCATGGGGCAGCACTGGGATTTGGGTTGCTTTGGGAGATGCCAGGAAGCTGGTTGGGTGAGGGCTTGGGCATCAGTCCTGAGGTGCTGGAACCATCCAGGCTCTTCCCAGCTGCCTTTGCTGGGCACTTAACAGAATGTGCTCTGCCTTTGCCTCCAGCCAGGCTCCATCCATGGTCATACATGCAGGGGCCCTGCAGCCACCCCTCGGGTTCCTCCCCAGCCATCGGGTGCCCACGCAGGGAATTTTTCAGGGCCCGCCCCCCTCTTTGCCTCCAGCTGTAATTAGCAGCTTCGTCAAGGTCAGGGAGCGTCGTGCTGGCTCCAGACTCTGCATTTACCAACAGCAGTAATTAAAGGACGCCCGCAGCGGGGAGCAGAGCAGTTCTGCTGGGGGGCAGCAAATGGGGACACGTGGCTGGGGCGGGGGGGGGGAAACAGAGGGACACAGCCAGGTGGCCTCCAACCCCTGCAGCCCCGACCCCAGCCCTCCTGCTCCCTCTCAGCCCTTTGAAGCCTCCCTCCCTGCAGCCCTAATTGCATTCCTTTCCACTGACGCGCAGTAACCCAACCCCACGGTTGGGCTGGGGGTGGTGGGAGCCCCCCCCCCCCCCCCCCAGCTTCTCTGCGGGCCCTGCGGCTGCTCCCCCGCCTGGCAGCGGATAAAGCAAAAACCCTCCCCAAACCCAGCCCAGGTGGGAGCTCGGGGGCACCTCCTGCTCCTCCCTTGCAGTGCAAAGCAGCTCCGGGCTGTGCACTGCGTCTGCAGGCCCAGGAGCCAGCAAAATGCACGGCACGGATGGAGCACGGAGGTGTGCAAAGCAGAGGGTTGTGCAGGGGGGTGGCGCTGTCCCAGCGTCCTGCTGTGGGCTGGGGGGGCAGCGAGGTTTTGCTCTCGGTGCAGAACAAAGGCAGTGGGTTTGGTGCTGCTTTCCCAGCATGGAAAGCAAATGTTCCCTTCCAACAGGCAGCTCCTGCGCGCAGTGTCCGCAAAGCACAAGGCCTGTCCTGCAGCAGATACGCAGAGCAGCTGTTCCATCTCCTGCCCCAGTCTGAAGGATTTGGTGGAAAAATTTGTCCTTAAACACAGCCCTGAGATGGGGATTCATGGGTGGCACTGCGTTAATGGATTGAGTCACCCCGCTGTCACCTCCCACAAAAAAAAACCACAGCCCGTTTGCATTGTGAGATAGCCAAGTTTGCCTCCATTGGATGGGTGATGGAGCCCTGAGCTGGGGGCTGGCCCTGTGCTTGAGCATCTGAATGGGAAGTTGGGGTTGGACCCAAATGCCAGAGAGAGACCAACCTGTGTGCGTTTGCCTGCAGGGATGGACCTGTCGGCCAACCAGGACGAGGAGGGTGACCAGGAGACCTACCAGCTGGAGATCAACAAGGACACCAAGAAATGCGCCTTCCGCACCTACACGGGCAAGTACTGGACCCTCACCTCCAACGGGGGCATCCAGTCCACCGCCTCCACGAAGTGAGTCCTCACCTCGTCCCCCCCCCCCCCACTGCTTTGGGACCCCTTTGCCTTCTCCATGGGTGCAGAGATTCGGGCAGCAGGGAGGAACCCAGGCGCTCAGCCCAAAATGAGAATTCCCAGCTCCCTGGGGAAGACAGGCGCTGCCAAAAACATAAAATCATTCAGGTTGGAAAAGGGTTCTAAGATCATCAAGTCCAACCCCAACCCACCCCCACCATGACACCATTCGTCTCCATGTCCCTGGAGGTGTCAGGGCATGCAGTGCCAGCTCCCAGCTGCTCTTTGGGAGAACAAACCTTGCCTAATACCCCACCTGAGCCTCCCCTGGTGCAGCTGAAGGCCATCGCGTCTCATATTGCTGTTATTACCTGTGGTCCTTGGGGTGGGGGTCTTTACCCTTATGGCTTCCTTCATCCACCAAAATCCCAGCCAACCTGGGCTGTCCCCAGCCCCTGGGGGTCACAGAGCCGCGCTCTGCCCATAGGAACGCCAGCTGCTACTTCGACATCGAGTGGTGTGACAAGCGCATCACCCTGCGGGCTGCCAACGGCAAATACGTGACAGCAAAGAAGAACGGGCAGCTGGCAGCCTCCATGGAGACAGCAGGTAAGGGATCCGGGGCTGTGAGGCGCCCTGGGGGGCAGGTGGGTGCCAAACGGGGTCCCCACGCTCACGGCCGCCGTCCCCTGGTGCAGGTGAGACGGAGCACTTTGTGATGAAGCTGATCAACAGACCCATCATCGTGCTGCGCGGCGAGCATGGCTTCATTGGCTGCCGGAAGGTGACCGGCACCCTGGACTCCAACCGCTCCTCCTATGATGTCTTCCAGTTGGAGTTCAACGACGGAGCCTACAACATCAAGGGTGAGCCTGCGCCTTGGGGTGATGCGTGTGACCATCACTGCTTTGGGGGGGTTTGAGGGGTCGGATGTCCCATCTGGGCCCTCGTGGCGGCTCACGGCTCCCCTGTGCCCACAGATACCACTGGGAAGTACTGGATGGTGGGCAGCGAGTCGTCCGTCACCAGCAGCAGCGATACGCCCGTGGACTTCTTTTTTGAGTTCTGCGACTATAACAAAGTGGCCATCAAAATCAATGGCAAATACCTGAAGGGTGACCACGCCGGGGTCCTCAAGGCATCTGCCGACACCATCGACGCCTCCACCCTCTGGGAATATTGATGCACTTTAGCGAGCCTCCCATTGCCAACCTCTCTTTCCCCTGTCCGTGTTTGGTTTTGTTTTTCTTTTGTTTCTTGTTTTTTTTTTTTGGTTTAATTTCTCCTCTCTGTACAAGGATTTCCAGCCTGGCTTGCCCTCCCCTTAGAGCCCAGTGCGTGGTGTTGGAGGTGGTCTCCCTTCATCTCATTAGAAACTGGATCAGTCGCCCAGCGGTGCGGTGCAGCCTATCATTCCAAAGGGGTTTTTTTCCCCCCTATCTCTGCTCGGGGGCTGCCGTGCTCACCCTGACCCCGAGCATCACCTCAGCCCTTCTATTTTCCCTTCCCCCCCAAAAGAAACAAAAAAAGAAGGAATAGGGTCGCCTCTGAGCTCCCCTCTGCCATACCCTCACTCTGTGCCCCGAGGTCCCCGTGGGGCTGTGCCCCTGTTCCTGTCCCCAGCAGCAGGTCTGTGCCCCACATTGGTGACAGGAGGACAGGGTGGGGGCACGCAGCCCCCCTTCCTCCCCCATTGCTGGGTGTGGGCACCAGCTGGCAGCAAACCTGCAGCCGTGGGTTTGCAGAGCGGACAAATTCCTTCGCAAACTTTGCACAGTGAGATTTGCTCAGTACTTTTTTTTTTTGTTGTTGTTGTTGTTTTGGGATTTTGTTAGTTTGGTTTATTTTTTCTTTCCTCATTGAATACTGGAACGGTGATGCCAATCACTGAGCGCCCATTGCTGGGCTGGGGGGGCTCCTGTGGGCTCCTCCTGAGCTGCGGCCACGTGCCACCTCCTGACTGGAAACAGAAAACAAATAATGACCAAAACAGTATTTTTGTGAGCCTCTATTTATGTATGCTGTGGGCAGCACTGTGTTCTGCACTCGGTGCAACGATGCTGGTGATGCCCGGCCGTTCCTCGTGGCGTTGGGGCGCTTCATCCTTCGGCCTCCCTGCGGACACCGCAGCGCCTTTCACCCCCCAGCCCCAACCTGAGGCTGCTGGCGGTGCCACCGCCGTGCCATAAGCCGGGGCTCCGCAGCCTTAAAGCTCTGCCATCCCTCCAGCAGGGCTCGGTGCTACGCTCCCACCGCCCCGTCCCCAGCACCCGCTGCCTCCCAAGGAAGAAGTGTCCTGATGGAGCCCCAGTGGCCCCGTGCCCTGGCGCACACTGCTGCCTTCGCACCCGCCGTGTCTCCTTCGTGTCCCCCCGCCCCCTCCGGCTCTGTGTGACTTTAGGTCCTCACCTCCTGTCTCCTCTCCTCGGGTGTTGTGACCCTCCGTAAGCATCTCACTCTGAAATTTAAGTCTGGGGGGGTTTTGTTCGTTTCGGGGTGTTGGTTTTAGTACCTTTTTTTTTTTTTTTTTTTCCCTAATTATTATTATTATTTTTTTTTTGTAAGTGCCATTTGTATAACTTAAACAACGACAGAAATAGCTTCAAACTGGAGAAAGATGAATAATAAAAAAAAAACCAAGACCTGCATTCGGATACGAGTGGCGACGCGTGGTCTGTTGGGGCTCAGGGGGTCCTCGCCCCGTTGGCATCCATGGGGCACAGCCTGGCAGCTGCAGCTGTGGGTTTGGGGTCAGGCAGCGCAGCTCAGGGCTCTGGGGGCAGAATGGCACCCATTGGCTCCTTCCTCCCACCTCAAAGCCATCGCTGGATGGAGGCTGGGGCTCGTTCTGCGATGCCCAGCAGCCCCCAGGATGCTCCAGAGCCAGCGTGGGTCAGAGCTGCTCCTCCTGGCTGATGGGGAGATAAAAAAAAGGGGGGGAAAAAAAAGCAGATCTCTGTGCGCAGCACATCGCAGAGCGGGGGTGGGACCCCATCCTGCAAACAAGGGCCGAGCAGAGGAAGGATGCCATTCCGCTGCTATAAACAAAGCAAAAATTAAAGCTGTGCAGGAAACGTCAGCACTTGTCACCTTCGGCCCCGCGCCCCACCGAGCCGCGCTCACACCTCCTGGTTTCCATTTACAGGAGCGACTGGAAACCATTTTCTATTCCATTTCTCCCGGCGGCGTTAAGCTGGGGGAGGACGCGTCTGCTGCCCCCATCCCATAAGCACAGCCTGGAGCTGGAAGCCAGAGTGCACAGATTTATTTACAAAAACAACACCGAAAAAGAAGAAAAGAATTCAAAAATTACAATATGATACAGGGAAACTCTGTACACACGGAATAGGAGAACGGTTTTACTACCGGAAGGTAAAGAAAAATATTTATTTCTTTTATTTCAATAAACCAACCTATTTGTTTTCGGCTATCGTTATACAAAGTTGCAGAACATGCACATCTTTACAGGGTTTCTTTCTTTTAATAGGACGTTTTTGCTAAGTGCAAATACTAAGTTTCTCTCCCCACCTTTAAGGCAAGTTAAACGGGACACCGCAATTAACCGTAATGAGTACCTGGTAGAGGATGCAGCCACGGCTCCTCCAGGACATGAGGGGACACAGGCAGTGGCTCTGCTGGCTGTGCAGAGCTTTGCTTTTGTAACAGAACGACCCAAACCAGCAATGGACTCAAACATGACCAGGAACCACTGCTGGGCATCTCCCAGGCCAGAGGGAAGGAGCAGCCCAGGCACACAGCACCACGGTTGTGAGGGAGAACAGCCCTATCCCTGCCCTTCTCTTGAATCCTCCAGGCCTCTTCTGCAGTGTGACGTGGCTGTGGGGCAGCAGGATGAGCCCCGTGCCCCAGGGAGGTGCTGGTGCTGACCCACAGACATGGGGTCAGACCCCCGGCACCACCCACCCCATGCCATCTCCAATGCCACCTCACCACTTCTGTCCCTTTTTCTCCATCCCCAAACTTCTCCCTGCCCGTGCTGAGATCCCAATACGGCCGTGCATCTTTGCAAAGCATCAAAAGAGGGAACGGGAGCCCGACTTCTGCTATCACAGCACTGCCTGTGCCGAGCACACGGCTGCTGCAGGAGAGCAGCAAAGGGTGCAGCTGTGCCTGCGAGAGATCCTGCAGTGCTGCACCAAGGCAGAGCAAATGCAGCCAGATGAGAGCTGCAGCACAGCACTGAGTGCCACCTCCATCCCCAGGACAGGCCCTGAGCACCCATCACCCACCTGTCAGAGAGGTGGGCAGATCTCAGCAACTCAAGCACATTGGCCCCGGGGCTGTCTTCAGGTACAGACTAAGGAGGAAAAATAACAATTAAAAAAAAAACAGCATTAAAAAGAAAAAATAATAAGTAATAGCAGCAAGTGAATGCCACTGGGTTATTAATGCTAGAGACCACGGCACTGAGGGGTGGGAATGCTTGGTAGGATGCATCCAACCCACAGGAAATGTCTGAGAGCAGAGAATGGACTCTGAAAGGCAAGGAAGTGCTACCTGAAAAACAAACACAGCCCAAGGACACCTGGACGCTGGAACATGGGGGAAAGCAGGATGCAGCACAGCCCAAACAACCTGGGATCCACTGCACAGCGGGTGGGTAAGAGCCAGCCCAGAGCTCCTGCTGGGTTTGCCCCTCCAAATGCTTTGCTGCTTTTGGGGAGGCTGTCCCAGACACAAAGCACAGCCCCTGAGTGCAGAACATGCTGGTGGTTACCAGCACTGACACCACAGCACCCGGCACACACAGCTGTCCATTACCTACCCCTGACTGCTGGTGGGGATTTGGGAGGCCCGCATGAGAACAGCAAAAGAAAGGCCATGTGCTGGAAGCTGGAGGGCAGCTTCCTGCTGGGAATGAACACCTGAGCCTGTAGAAGGGGCAAACTGCTCTCAAGGATCGAGATGGCCGAGTTTTCTGCTTCCTGGAGCCCTGAGATGGGATGTGGCTCTGGGCTGCTGAACAAGAACTGAGCAATGAGGTGGCTGCTGCATCCCCTCACTCTGTGCAGAGCGAGAAATGCTAAATACACTACATTAACTTGGTTTGGAACAATTTATTTCTGCTGGGAGGTGTTAGCAGGTTACAGGGATGCTGGAGAACATGGGAACCCCAAACCTTGGGCTTAGGGCAGCCGAGTCCCATTACCTTGTTCCTGAAGGTCTTACTCAGGTGCCAAGTCCCTCCTCCCTTCCCACAGGACTCAGGCTGTTGCAGCTGCTCTGGCCAGCAGGAAGGTTGGAGTTTTGGAAGACTCCCAAGGATCTTTTGCATCCCCTGTGCTCCACAAGTCTCATTTTCCCTCTCAGCAGCTGTCTGAATAGTCTTTGCCAAATAAAAATTTAAAAAAAAAAACAAACAAAAAAAGGACTCCCAACATAGGAAGAGACCTTGGAAATGCAGCACCAAGCCCTGTTGCAGCACAGGTTGAAATGTTTGATTGTAAAGGTCCGGAGAAGCTATAGATAAGGGTGTAGTGCAGGCGTGTGCCAGGCACAGCAGCTCCCCTGCAGCTGGCTGTGTGGGGGCTGCAGCAGGACGGGGTGATGCTACCAGGGGCTTCGTCCTGCGGGGACCGACGCCATCCGAACGGCGTCAGAAGCGGTGCCGAGGCTGAGGGCCGAAGTGCATAGGCAAGTTGTGCTCCAGCTGAACGTTGATCTGGGGAAAATCATAGTTCACCCTCATGTTAGGCAGCGGGGGCACGTAGGGGGCGGGGATGGGGCCGATGTTGAGGGGGATGTTATTGTAGATGGGACGGACGGGGGGCAGCGGGAAGGGAGGGTGAACGAAGGGGTAAGGAGGCATCCGTGGCTGATGGAGGTTCTGAGGAACAGGTCTGGGGATGACTTCAATTCTCTGCATTTTCTCCATGGGCTTTTCCACCGGAGGGCCGATCCGCTTGAAGCTGTTCTCTGCAGAGGGAGGAAGGGGAGGAACCAGTCATGCCACTCACCAAGCTTGGTCTGCAATGTGGCACCCACCATCCCAAGCACACTCCTTAAGCACCCTTGCCCCTTCTCCTCCCAGAACCTCCTTGCTCCCTGCTTGGAGCACAGGCACGAGGTTGGAAGGTTGGCTCCTTCCACCAGCAGCGCAGCACAAGCACACTCTGCTTGCAGATGTGTGGGGCTGCCCCTTGCGTGTCTCTGTTCCCTTTCCTCCCCCACTGCCCCACCAACAGCTGCAAGCAACACCGCTTCAAAGCTAGGCAGGTTCCCAGCAGGAACAGCATGATGGCAGCATGGAAAGATGGCAGCAAACCCAGAGCTGGGAGCTCTATGCTCTGCAGTCATTCCTGGTCTGACCTCAAAGCACAGAAACTTACCTCCGTTTTTCTTCCTCTGCTCCTCTTCAGCCTCCTTCTGAATCTCCTGAATTATCTTCTCGTCATCTTCCTAGGAATCAGGGCATAAAGAATCAGAATAATTCCTGCTGCAGCTGCTTTCTATTCTCTCAGCACAGCTTTTGGCATAAGTGTGTACAGGAAAAGAGACGAATTCAGCTGTCTTGTCTTTGTCCAGGATGCCCCACGGTCAACCAAAAGCAAGGCTGTGATGGGGGATTGCCGTATGAGCAATGTGCACAGAGCCAAGCTGGTTCTATGGAGTACACCTAAGAGGCTTAGATCAGCTTTCCAGGGAGATGAGTGCTAAAATTCATTGCCTTGATGGAAACCAGAGAGCTGCAACCCAGCTCCGCCCATCCAAAGAGTTGCTGGAGAGCTGTTAATCTTCTCAATGGCAATTGCCTATTAAATATTTACACTGTGCGAGCACTTCTTGAGTTTTTGGCCCAACAGCTGGAATTAACACAACTTAAATCCTGGCTCCAGTAGCTAAACGGTGCCGTAATGAGGCCATTTAGATCTTATCTGTAACTGTGAGGAGGACATAAATCACAGTGCGTTGCTGTAATATCTATCCAGACGTCACAGCTGGAATATTCAGACCCGCTGCTCAGTGAGAAACTGGAAGCATCCCTCTGCCCCTCACCTTCCTCCTTTTTCTCAACCCAACGTCGCAGCAGTCAGACCCAGTGTCACATTCAAAACACGCTGCAGGTGCCTTTGGCACAGCCAGCTTCCCAGCCCACCCCACAGCCCCACACACATCCAGCAGCACCAGAACCTTGCTGCCCGTGCTCTGCTCCCACCACAGACAAGGTTTCCCCAGGAGACACAAGTTATCTTCATCTGCACAAAGCCCCCCAGCTCGGCACCTCCCAGCCTTGGATTGCTCCTTGTGTCAATGGTTAAAATGAAGCCTTTCCAGCACGTGGTATTTCATCTGAGCGGGATGCTTCCACGGCCCGTTAATTACAGCCTATCCATCTCCATAAAAAGCGCTGAAGAATGGCTCTCGTGAGCCTGCACGGAGCTTCTGATAGCCCCAAGAGCATCAGATTGCAGCTGGGAAGCAGCTGAGCTGGACAGCACAGCTCCTCGCTGTCTGGGCAGTGCAGGGGTGGCCCCAAAGCTTCAGGATCCGTTCATTTTTGTCTCAAGAATATTGCTTTTCAATGCCATTGGAAACCAGATAACTGCCTCTCCCATCCCACTGCCCTCACTGCAAACGTGCACCTGTGGGTTTGTTTGTTTCTTTAGCTATATGGTAAGAAGGCAACAAACCCAACGGAACACTATTCTCCAACTCCCTTCCCTCACACAAAGGTAAAATCTCACCTTAAAGCCTAGAAATGTTCAGGTTCCCTTTTGCTTAAAGTTTGTTAGAGTCCAGAATTAGCTTTCTAAAGTACTGCTTTCCAGATGCTGCCATCCTACTGCCATCAGACTGCTACCAGCCACGGATCCATCCCATCCCATCCCATCCCATCCCATCCCATCCCATCCCATCCCATCCCATCCCATCCCATCCCATCCCATCCCATCCCATCCC